AATCACTATGTGATCCGTGTAAACTCATCGAACCTTTAAACAGGCTTATTAGTAAAGGTTATCTTACCAATGTTGTAATTAGATCTTTGAATATAGTTTACACTGGCACTAATATCGATTTTGTCATCAGCAAATTAAAACATAACTAAATTTGTATTTTTTTCAAGTGGGATGTATAAAGACATACCCACGTTCGTTTAGATCTATAAAGAGGTTAAACTCCTTACTATCCTACTGTCTGTCGATACATTTATTTTTGGCATTGCACTAGTCATGTCATCTTTGACTGTCCATGACGTTAAAATACTAAATCCCTGGGATGTGTTTTAGTTGATTTTAGTCTCTGATGCATGATTTTTTATTATTAATTGTTTTGGTTTTTAACTAGCTGTCAGTAACTGCGAGTACTCTCAAACCGTACTTTCTTGTTTATTTGACCTGTTGATACTAATTGTATTGCTTTTTTGTTATTTAATGTTATTCAGGGTTAAATTTCTGGTCTATATACCAGCTTTGATAAGTGTTTGGTATAACTATAAATTTTCACTTCGTACTATGAACATCAAAATTATTTATTTTGTAATAATATTTCCTTTCTCTATTGGTACTGTACACGTATACCTAGCAACAAAATTATTTTCATTTTCCTGTGTTTAAAGTTATTGCAAATGGATGGTATTTTTGTTCGAGCATATTGTTTTTCTTTAATTGTTTATCATTTCTTACCGATATAACATGTTACTTTTATTATTCTTCCCTTAGTTTATTTATTTTGTATTCAAAATTATTTATTTTGTAAAAATATTTCCTTTCTCTATTGGTACTGTATAGGTATACCTAACAACAACATTATTTTCATTTACCTGTGTTTAAAGTTATTGCAAATGGATGGTATTTTTGTTCGAGCATATTGTTTTTCTTTAATTGTTTAACATTTCTTACCGATATAACATGTTACTTTTATTATTCTTCCCTTAGTTTATTTATTTTGTATTTACATTGCGTCATAGGTCAAATTTATTTGTTCAGTGTATGTTCAATGGTGTTAATATGTCCTTTGATTGAGTTAAGCTATTTCAGTTGATATTTTATAGTGTGTCTTTCTATGTTGTGATGTTATACTATTGTTTCAGAAAAAGGGTGAAGGTTTGGTACCATTAAAACGTTTAAACCCGCTGCATTTGTTTGCACCTGTCCTAAGTCAAGACTCTGATGTTTAGTAGTTGTCGATGTGGTTCATAAGTGTTTCTCATTTCTCGTTTTTTTTATATAGATTAGAGCGTTGGTTTTTCCGTTTGATGGTTTTACACTAGTAATTTTTTGGGGCCCTTTATAGATTACTGTTCGGTGTGAGCCAAGGCTCCGTGTTGAAGACCGTACTGTGACCTATAATGGTTTACTTTTATAAATTTTGACTTGGATGCAGAGTTGTCTCATTGGCACTCAAACCACATCTTCTTATATCTATTATGGTCCCTTTCTAGGATTACAAACAAAATTCAAGTACCATCAAAGCGTTTTGTGTTCGTACCGGTCGATAAAGCAGCCAACAATGTGGTGGTGGTATGACGTAAATACTACTCGGATGTCCTTACTAATGAAATTATACTTTCAACCACAGTATGTATTCTACTACTTATTTTAACTAAAGGTGCTTTTAACGAGTTCCTTAACTTCTATCAAAGAACTTAATGTTAATTTTTGTAAGAAAACATATGAAAACAGTGGAATTAACCATTGTTGATGTGTAAAAAATTCTGTGGATGTTTTAGATAGATTACGTGTTAAAAATATTTCATGAATAGGGCAAATTGATATGCTTTTTCATTAACATCTATATAAAATTGTATACTGTGTAAATATTATTATATTATTATAATAGTGTATGTATTTTGAGGACTCTCAGGAAAATTAGTTTTAACTAATGGGATTATCCTCTTGAAATAAAGATTATTTATTTATTTATTTATTTATTTATTTATTTATTTATTTATTTATTTATTTATTTATTTATTTATTCATAGATAAATTGCGTGCGTTTGTTGGTCCTTTTGATTCGGATGACAGTTTTGACTTTTCTACTCTTTATACTACACTTTCACACAATCTTCTCAAACAAAAGTTTTCCTATCCAATTAAATGGTAGTTTAATAAATCTGGTTGCAAATTCGTTTGCTGCAACTCATAAAAAGCCTTTTTCTCTAATAAGAAAGGTAAATATGCTAGATATACGTACTGGAGGTGTTATGAGATGATTAAAGCAATACATTTTCTCCTTGCCAACATTTATGTACTTTTCGGCAATAAAATTTATCGACAGATTGTAGGTATTCCTATGGGCATCAATTGTGCCCCTTTCATAGCAGACTTGTTCCTTTACTGTTATGATTCACAGTTCATGGCCAAACTCAGTAAAGAACCGTCTAAATTCCATTTAATTGATGAATTCAACAATAATTAACGTTAACTTGATGATATTGGTTCCTTAGATAATCAAGAGTTCTATAACTATACTGCTGAAATTTACCCAAAGGAACTTACATTAAATAAATCTAATATCAACAGCAATAACTGTCCTTTCCTAGATTTAGATATTTCAGTATTACACCAGAAAATCTACAAAAAAAAGTTATGACAAAAGGGATGAATTCTCTTTTCCTATTGTTCATTGTTGTTAGTTTTCCCTTTTTGGACGGTGATGTACCTTTGGCACCGTTTAATGGTGTTTATATAAACCCAACTCGTTCGCTACGCCCGTGTGTGAAGTGACGTACTGGATTTTAATTAGCGTAATCTATGTATTACTAGAAAATAATTAAGTCAGGGATTTCGTTACCACAAATTACTTAAAACCTTTACTAAATTCTTTCATAGATACAAAGATTTGGTCTGCAAATTTGGCTGTTTCTGTAGAAAACTTATTACGGAATAGCACATCTTTACGATCCGGGTAAACTTATCAATCCTTTGAATAAACTTATTCTAATAGGTTACCTTTTCAATACTGTAATTAAATCTTTGAATATTTGTTTTATTGGTAAACATATTGATTTTGTGATCAGTAAATTAAAATCATACTAAATATTCCACATGTGTACTTTCACGGTACTACAATTTGACGATACCTACAGTTTGACCTTGTACAAGGTCATATTTTTCTCTGACTGTAAATGACATCTTTACACTAAATCCATTGGATACTGGATGTGTACTGATTGATATTTTAGTCTTAGATACATGATTTTTTTCATTGGATGTTATTGGCTTTGAACTAGCTGTCAGTAACTGCCGAGTTCTCTCAGATCGGTACTTAGTGTCTTTTTGTTTTTGGGATGTATAAGTACCCGTCCACGTGCACTCTGTGTTTTTGTTAGATGTATTTCTATTTGTATCCATCTGATGAGTTAAGCCTTTTTCAACTGATTTTCATAGTTTGTTCTTATGTTGTACTGTTAAACCACTGTCCCAGCTTATAGGGAGGGCTCACAAACATGTTTAACCCCGCCACATTCTTTATTTGCCTGTCCCAAGTCAGGAGCCTGTAGTTCAGTGGTTGTTTGTCATATTTGTTTTTCGTAAATTATTTTGTTATGAATACTAAGGCCGTTAGTTTTCGCAATTAAATTGTTTCATATTTTTCATGTCGGGGCCTTTTATAGCCGACCATACGGTATGGGTTTTTCTCATTGTTGAAGGTCGTACGGTTGCCTATAATTGCTTACATCCGCTTCATTTGAACTTTGGTAGACAGTTGTCTTATTGGCAATCATACCACATCTCCTTAATTTTATATTAATATATCTTTTTTTTCATTTTAGTTGTTTACTCATTTGTTTGTTTTATAGCTGAGGAATGATCAGAATAATATAAACTACAAGATGTTATTCATTATGAATGTCTAGCAAATAATCTAAATGTTCATCTAGAGGTTCATAGGAACATTCATACCACAATGAAAATACTTAAAAGCACGTGATTGTCGGACCACACTTCTTTGAAATTGAAGGGCTTTTGTCCCTTAAACTTATGTAGGCCTTTGTGTTTGTTAAATGTCATTTTTGATATTGCATTTTACTTGACCATGTGCTTATATGACTAGTTTGTCGCATTGTAACCAAACAAACTAGAGAGGTGATTTAGTGATCACAGATACCTCTGCATGTAGCAACTGAGAGATCATGATTTTATTTCTGTAGCAGACAGCATACTTTGAAATTTAATAAGATTTGGTATGTTTACCATAATTCAAAGGCAGTGAATATGTATATTTTTTCCGTATACCCTCAGATATTCTTTTGGGGCCTCACATGCAGTTATATAATATAAACATATATATATATATACTTTGTTTCAAATTCATATATTGGTATTTCGATTAGAATCAAGTGTTCATCTGAATACTGATGTTTAGACAAACAAACTAAAACAAACCGCAAGTATTTGTTTTAGTCATGAAGAAGTAAATTCAAATAATAAAAGAGAATTACTCTGGTTCATACTGTTTAAGGTTTTTGGGAAAAAGCCTCTAGATCTGTTTCATGGTCCAAAACATTCGATTAACTTGTCAATCAATTTCAAAAATTCGTTCTGCATATATCAACCAGGAACCACAAAATGGTTAATTTTCCTAGCAATAACGAACCATAACTCGGGAATGGTAAAAGTAGGAACGACAAAAATCTAATTCCATCTATGTTCAGTGGTCTTAAATAGTTCATGGCCATTTCCAATTAATTTTATTCAAGGGTTCACCATTTTTACCCCAAAACTACATTTTTTTTTTATATTTCCAACAATCAATAACCATTACGCGGGAACGGTTAAAGTAGAAACGACGAAAACGATAATCTGTTTTCAGTAATCCAAAACATTTCATCAACATTTTCAATTAATTTCATACAGGGGTTCTCCATTTAATAACCAAAAGCTACATTTCTTTTTTTTTTTCTAACTTTCAATTACCATACCTCTGATACGATAAAAGTGATTATGACGAAAAATCTAACTTAACCTGCCTTTAGTGGTCATAATCGTTCCTTTGAAATTTCTTTCAATTTTATAATGGGGATCTTCATTGAATATCCGGAAACCGAGTTATTTCCAAAACATTTCATCAACATTTTCAATTAATTTCATACAGGGGTTCTCCATTTAATAACCAAAAGCTACATTTCTTTTTTTTTCTAACTTTCAATTACCATACCTCTGGTACGATAAAAGTGATAATGACGAAAATCTAACTTAACCTGCCTTTAGTGGTCATAATCGTTCCTTTGAAATTTCTTTCAATTTTATAATGGGGATCTTCATTGATTATCCGGAAACCGAGTTATTTTCAATTTTTTCTAACAATCAAGTACCAAAACTGTGGAACGGTAAAACAATCAAAATAGTGATCCAAAACTGTTCATGTAGATGTCATTTAGGTTTTTAAAGCGGTTTTCTATTTATGATCAGGAAACCAAAAGTGTTACGGACGAACAGACGAACGGATGGACATGGTGATTTCTATATACACCGGTTCTTTCAAGCGGAGATATAAAATGACAAAAATCGTGGCATGGTTGTAGCATTATACCACCACGATAAAATGCGGCCGTACAAAAAGTTAACAAATGGCAACGGAACCAAATACGGAGAACACGGTGGTACATTCATGAGGGTAGTAATGCCCTTTACCGTCAGGCGTCAAACTGCCATTTTCGGCTACCGTTAGCGTCATATTGGTTAAAATTTTACCGTGATTCGTCAAAATATCCTTGTCGTGATTCGTCAGAGATCTCATATAATTATCGTTACCGTTATTTTTTGAAAAAAAATTAACGTGATTCGTCAAAATCTTTCGATTTTTTTAACGTCTAAAAGAAAGTGTACATTTTATCGTCATGCAGCAAAAATTACCGTTAACGTCATTAGGCAAGAATTTTTACCGTTATTCGTCATGAAGGTACCCCCATTACGACCCTCATTCATATACTCCAATACAGATTTACTAATAATATCACTTCGAGTAAAAACATAAATAGTGCAATTGAGTTTGAAACAATTATTACAATTTCGTCATTCTTGGACAATGTCATAAATCACTGCATCTCTACTTCGATTAGATACTAATAGTTTGTTTGTTCTTCGGTCAAAATATAGTGCAATCGGATTCCGAAGATCATCCCTACTCGACAAAAGTTCTTTGTATCGCTTTCCGTCAGGGGAAATTACTATCACATTGTTGTTTCCAGTGGTGACATAAACGTTGCCTGTATTATCTATAGTTATTCCTAATGGAATCATGGTCATATTTTGAAATGCAAATTTCCATTTCACTGTTCCTTTCATATCACAACAAGTGACATCATCGGTATTCGTATTTGTGTAATAAATGAGGTCTTGAAATGTCTCGACGTATGCGAAAGTTGAGATGTCAGCATAGACAATGTTTTTTACCAGTTCATTTCTCAGACTTATCATTCTTATATTATTTGAATTTGTACAATAAACCAAGCTATCTTGAACAGCTGCAATACCAAAGTTCTTAGTGTTAACTGAAATGTTCTTTATTTTCTTATTATGGAGGTCAATGATCCTAATGTATTTTTCATTCTCTATACTAGATGTCACAGCAATACTGTCATATGCCTCTATATATGCAAGGTCAACTGCTGCTGGCAATTTGACCACGGCATCTTTAGATCCATCGCTCTGCAAAAATGTTAGCGATTTTTGGTCATAGCAGGCAAATACCATGTTTTTATTTGGTAAAATGCAACAACCCCTTACGTTTTTTGATTCAGTGTTTACTCTCTGATGCAACCGTGTTGTCATATTTTCAATTGACATTGACTGTATTGTAGGTATCATCATCTGAGCTTGCATACTTTTCTTGTGCGATAGTGTAAACCTTCTTGGTGTGGTCTCTATAACTACTTCCCCAAATGTTTGTGTATTGCCTAGAAAAGCTTGTATTGGTTCTGACAATTTGCAGCTAATTGTCACGTTATTCATCTTTTCCTCGGGTACATATGACAAAAGGCATTCTTCCTCTTTTGCAACATCTGTTTCTATCTTCTTTATTGCCATAAATGCCTGAATATCCGATGCATACTTTTTTACATTGACTATTTTCAATTGATATTCTGACAAACTCTGTTCCATTTCGTCCAAAGTTTTAATCGAAAGGCGTATCTTTTCGCTTTCTTTATCACCCGCACCATGAATTTCATCTACAAGGTTTTTCTGTATTTTATCAAGATGTTTATCAATTAGAAGACGAGTTTGTTGGATTTCAAGTTCGATTGCTTTTCTTTTCTTAGACAGATCTGCTAAGTTTTCTTTGTGAGCATTTCTTATCTTCCTAATATTTTCGATCAATTCAGTCAATGTGGCTTCTGTTTCATGAAATGAAACGGAATTTTTAGCGTTTTTCATGATATCATCGAGACTGACAATTTCTTTGCAATGTTTATGGGTTTCTACAACGCACTTACCACAACAAGGATTTTCATGGTCTTTGCAATATAAAATTAATTTTTCGTCATGCTTGCAACAGGACTGTGAAATTTGAATAATATCTGAAGGAAGTTTCCTGTATTCAGCTATTGGTAATATAGAGTGCTGCCTTGTTGCCTTGGACAAGCTGTGATGTTCTTGGCATGAATTACAAAGACCTTCATCGCACTCTGGGCACCATACGGTCGACGGTTTTGAAATATTTCGCAAATCACATATACCACATATGTTTGCTGAACTAGCCATCACTTAATCAGCTAACCGGGTTATTTCTGAAATAAAGAATATTGGGTTCAGAATGTATTAATAAAACCAATATATATGTCTTCCTTCATTCGTAAAATATATAACTATACAATTTACTTAGTTTAGAGACTTTATTAAAAATTAATAGCCATCACGTGTATGAAGCTGTAAAATGACATAATACTAAGTGTGTGACAATTGTATGTTGTCAAAACATGTTTCATTCTGCATGTTCTGTTTTATGAAATATTTCGTATTAATCGTATTTTTTCACACATTTTCGCATTTTTTTTAAAATTCAGTAGCCCGCATTTGACTCCATTTCAAACTGTTCTCGATGGATTGTCAATCAACATAAAAAAGAACAAAATGCCTAAAAACTTAACAGATTCCACATTTATGAGTATGAAAGCTCACCTGGTAATTTGCTCCTTTAATTATTGCTCAAGAGACGATAATTACTTTCATCAATTGGTAAATTTTAAATATTTCACTGTGTAGTTTCATAGGATAAGTTTGAATTGGTAAATTAGGATAAAAGATTGGCTTTGGCACTCACGTTAACAGCGAATCAGAACTAGATGAGGAGAGTTTATAAACAAAACTTTCAAATGCTATTTCAAAGACAGTTTTATTAATCCGGAAATTTAAGTATTAATATAGACCATGTAGACGATGAGCATGAGTTCTATTTACGGTGCCATCGGATCTTAGTGTCATCCACAATTGACGACACATTTCTTTTTTAAAACAATGTTTTTCAGATGTTCGATTGCATATGATCATCTCTGCAATTACAAATCCTCTCATTTCTTTTTTTTTACATTTTGCGTAACAGTTTCAGAGGAAACTTTGAAAATTGGTTTTTCAGAATCAACAAGAGTCAATTTCGGTCATGTGACATATTTTTTAGACATTGCAATTGGCAGATGTTATAGACGGTGTCTCTCTTATTTGTTCATATTTGTTCGTACGTTTTGTCATCCCATGGCCTTAAATATTCTATACTTTAGTATACGGAAAATGTTTTGCTCTTTGTTGAAAACTGTTCGATGACCTTTAGTTGCTTTCATCTGCGTCTGTTGGTTGTATGTACACGTGTAGTGTGTTGTTCAACTTGTCGTTAATTATAACGCGGTGTTAAAAATGCTAAAACTGTCGGTAAATATAATCCAACTCACGAAGGTTTTAATCGCGTTCTATTGTCATTTGCTATTTTTTTCTATTTAAAGTTAATTGCTATTTATTACAAATTTCAAAATGAAAGGTTAAAAAGACAAAAAAGTAAAACATAAATCATCATTAAAGGCGATTCGTGTAAAGTTTTCACTCACTACTTTTGATTGATTGATTGTTGGTGTTTTAACGCCACTTTTAAACGCCACTTTTGGGTTATTACGTGGCGGTCATTTTTTTTAGGTATGGCAAACCAATGGGAGATAACTCCAAATTACCTTAAATAATTGTTCCCAGATGTGTGTAAAAATAAAATCTTTGGATGACCTCCAATTACGGCCTTCTATTAACTTGTTAAGTCTCAGAAGGTTCTGATTGCTTTTGATAGATATCATATGAATATTCATGATTCTGTATATTATAATTTTCGGGAATACGATGAAATATTTGAGGTACAAACAAGGGTTTTAAAGTTACATTCATTTAAAAAAAAATACAAGGGAATGTTATACAGCAACATAATGTTCTGTTTTATTAAGTTTTATATATTAATTAAACAATTATGTCCAATAAATAAATCTAGATAGCTGTGGTCATATCAAAATTAATTTTTATAAAAAACCCTCCTTTTTGTGTATACATAGTTATTTCCCTTGCATGGACAACTTTTGGTTTAGTTTTGATTGGAAATCAGCGTAATAGTTTTTTTTGCATTATACAGTCAGTTTATTGCGATTTAAGATAGTTTAACCATTTGCCATTGCACACGAGATAGTAAGGATACTGAATAATGTGGTTTTTCAGACTGTATTTAACAGTACACTCTAAAGATATTATTTTTTGTATACATATTTTTGTGTGTGTGTGTGTGATCACATTAACTGAGTTGTTGAAATTTTCCCAACATATATGTTCTAAAAACACTGGTATAATTAAATAAGGGAACGTAACGGACACTACAGCTATCTACACATACAGACTGTTAAGAGGATTATCGAGCCAAAAAACTTGAGATAATACCGGAGATGGTAGGTCTCAAACCATGTTCGAAGTTCTGTTCAAGATTCGTTAAGCTTGTAGTTGCACCGAATTGCAATTTTTTAATATGATTTCAGCATGATCATGTATAGGAATACATGAACTAATCAAGTTTTACCTTGGAGCTTACCACTTTCTGTATTGATCAGTATTGAAGTAATTTCATGTCGAGAAAAAAAAAACACTAGCGAACACCATGCAATTTAATATATATCCTGAAATAATAATTATATTATATCTGGGAAGCTAAAGTCTTACTAACAACTAATGCTTGATACAGTGAAACTAGTCTAAACCAAACCCTGAATAAACCGGAAACCATGTTCTGAAGTCCCTTCATCTCAGATTCAATGCATTTTGAACTTCAGTCGTGAATGAGATTGGTTTACAGATTTCACTGTATAAATATTGTAACTGATATACAGATATGAATTTACTTTACTTTTATACATACAAGTATTTACAGTGATCTGACATAATTATTTTGTTTGAAATTTCTCAAATAAAAATAATGTTATATTTATTTTCATTGTTTTTCAGTGCACCAGGTATTTTAGACCTGTAGTATAATTGTTGGAAGGTTGTTGTTTATTTTTATTTATAAGCATTCACTATACATGCTATATAAGAATAAGAATATTTCATTAAATAGAATGTTAATAAAAAGGAACATTCTAAAACTATCATGACTATACAAAGACAGATGACATACTTCGAAGCTTTTCTCGTCGCTCATGGTACACACACACAAACATATACATTTGTATATATTAGAGTAATATTCATATTTATATTTTGTTTCTTACATTCAAATGTTTATAAAGTTTTACTTTACATTTTCAATATACCAACTGATGTTCTGAAGAAAGGAATATATAAAGGTATCGTCATCTTATGTGACTTTGGACGATATAATTTCATGAAAGTGGTTGACATTTTCATGCTTTATGCTTCTATTTTAACCAAAAAACTTAACATGGAGATTGAAATTGATTAACAAGATGTAAAAGAAGCAATATAAACAAATCTATAACCCAAATGATTAAAAAAATGTATTTTATTATTTTTTAAAGAGAGGAAACAGTTTTTCTAGAATAGTAAAAAATTACCATTTTGAAAATTTGCTATTTCTTCGTTGTTATTATGTGTATTGATAAAAGTGAAACTGTTTTGAAAATGTCTTCACAATGCTTTTAAAATGAGGTAAAGTTTTCTTAGATTAGTTGATTTTAAAAAAATCACTTTCCGTACCTATTTTTTTATTTTATTTTTTTTTTGGTGGAGGAAGCCGGAGTGCCCGGAGAAAACCATCGACCTTCTATAGGTAAACATACAATCCTAGTCAATTAAGATTGGATTCGAGTGCACCCGCACGAGTGGGGTTCGAACTCACAACATTTCGAACCTCAGTGTTGACTGGTTAGTGATTACAGTAGTAGAACTACTTAGACCAATTGGCCACAGCGGCCCCCACTACTTTTGAATAAACTTATTCTAACAGGTTACCAATTCAGCACGGTAAGTAGATTTTTTATTAATGTTTTTATTTAATAGTATTAATATTGTTTAATCAGTAAATTAAAACTATGCTTGATATTATTGATATACACATTTGCACTTTCACGGTACTACAATATGTTGATACCTATATTCAGGCTATGTACGAAGTTATGTTTTTTCTCCGACAGTAAATGACGTCTTTACATGAAATCCATTGGATGTTAGCTGTGTACCAATGGATAACTTAGTCTGAGATAGATAATATTTTATTAGCTGTTATTAGCTTTGAACTAGCTCCCAGTAACTGCGAGTACTCTCAGTTCTGGTCTGTGTGTCTATTTTTGGTTTAAGGGATGTATAAATACCCTGCCACGTTCGGTCTGTGTTTTTGTTATATGTTTTTTCTACATTTGTATCGATCCGATAAGTTAAGACCTTGTCGACTTCTTTTATAGTGTGCTCGTATGTTGTGCTGTAACACCACTGTCCAAAGTTAAGGGAGGGTAGAGCGCTCACAAATATGTGAAACCTTGCTACATTCTGTATGTGTCTGTCCCAAGTCTCAAGTCAGGAGCCGATAGTTCAGTAATTGTCGTTGGTTCATGTCTGTCATATTTGTTTTTAGTAAATTGTTTTTTTTATAAACTAGGCCGTTAGTTTTCTCAATTGAATTGTTTCATATTTTTTTATGTGGGGCCATTCTATTGCCGACTATACGATATGAGTTTGTTCTCATTGTTGAAGGCCGTACGATTGCCTATATAGACAATAATAGTGCATTGACTTGACATATCAACGATATAAGGATGAGGCTTAGAAACGGGGAAATGCGAGGCTCTGCCGAGCTTTTTCCCCGTTTCGGGCCGAATCCTTATATCGTTGATATGTCAAGTCAATGCACTATTATTGTCTTTATACTGCAATCTAAAAAAAAACACATTTTCAATTGTTGTTTAGTGTGTTAATGTTATTATTTGATTTACATATTGGGAAACTTCCCCCTTTTATAAAAAGGCCTCATATCATGCAGGCGGAGAAATATACAACACAATGAAATGTAGATTACTTGTTGAAAACCCGCAATCGATGGTGAACGAATTTGGTTGAGAATGAACTAAAATATCAACAATAAGCATAAAACATAATGATTTATAGTATGCATACCAAAAATATTAACTAGTGAAATAAGTTTTTTTTCTAAAAATTGCAAAAGAAATAAGTTTGAGTCGTTGTATACATTGGAAACAAGAACAGGTTGAATAGGTCGTATGAATAATGAATTATAATTTCGGCAATTTCTATTTAAATATTCATGAGGAAAAGTGATATCAGGTCAGTGACTGTATATGACATAGAAATATACGGTCAACGCATTTTGACTGCTCAAATAGAACGAGTGAAGTATAAAATTGAATACATCCACTTCATTTGAAGTTTGGTGGATAGTTGTCGCATCATACCACATCTCCTTATTTTTATAATAACTGCAATAAGGAGTAGACTGACGCTTTCGATCACATGACATTTTTGTAGATCTTGCGGATTGATCTTGCTATTTTCTATGTTTCGGTCTATCTAACTTAAAAAATTGTTGAGGCCGTCATCGCAGTCATCTTGCCGACGCCGGAAAAGTTATCCCCATGACTCGCTTTCCGCGAATTTCGTCGCAGGCGAGACAAAATGGGATAAATCGTCATTAAAGGGCAATAATTGTAATAAAATGTCGTCTTACAGTTTTAACTAGATAGACAGAATGTATATCGCATCGATTTGAACATGTTTACTCTATCTATAGCTGTGTTCAAGACAATACACAAAAAATTGAAATTTACCCTTATGTTCTATTTTTGGTCATGTCGTCCATGTTTGAAGGAAGATGATGTTTTGGGATACATTTTTATACTATACACCCCAATGATGATTCGCAAATTTTAACTTTAAACCATTAGGAGAACTGTGTAAAAGTGAACGGCAGACGACGACAACGGATGTGAAGTAATGGCAAAAGTTCACTTCTGGCCAGCTGGTGAGCTAGATATTATATGTCAGCAACTACCTTGCTTGGAGATTCAAATTTTACGCATTTAAATATGTGAGGCCCATAATACGAATTATACTAATACTGATTCAAACAAAGCAAACATGTCCCTGGTGTTAAGATTTTGTTTACATAAAACATATTGCTTAACGAAAAACATAAATAGTATTTGACTTATTGCTGTCTTTTTATGCTTCCTTACTGTATGAAACTGTTTATTTACAGCTCTTCATTATACACTTTTAGTCTAATCAATCGAGAGTAAAAACATTGTCAATGGTTTCTTTCTGATACAAAATATAAAGACATGGATGTATGTGGCTTACCTTTATCGAGTTAAATGTGTATTTCTTTATGATAATCTAAACTTGAAACATATGGGTCATGTATTTAAATTTTCTACAGATATTATTAATCTTTTGACCTTTTAAAACTGATAATAATATCAAAATGTTTCGTATACATATCTTTCCGATATAAATTCGAAGAAAAAAACAAAACATGTCAATTGTTTCAAATAATCAAGATTACAGAACATATAGAGAGCTTTGGCTTTAGCAAATTTAAATGAAAATAGCCCTACCAAGGACGACAATAAAAATCTTTACTGTAACTGAGTCAATTTTAAGCATCGGTTACACATTTAGGACTTTTACGGCCGTCCTCAATTTACTACAGTTCTTTTATTTGGTGAAAAAGAAACTCATCAAATATATCGGTAAAATTGAGAATGGAAATGGGGAATGTGTTAAAGAGACAACAACCCGACCTTAGAGCAGACAACAGCCGAAGGCCACCAATGGGTCTTCAATGCAGCGAGAAACTCCCGCACCCGGAGGCGTCCTTCAGCTGGCCGCTAAACAAATATGTATACTAGTTCAGTGATAATGGACGTCATACTAAACTCCAAATTATACACAAGAAACTAAAATTAAAAATGATACAAGACTAACAAAGGACTTGGGACAGGCGCAAAAATGCGGCGGGGTTAAACATGTTTTTTGAGATCTCAACCCTCCCCCTATACCTCTAGCCAATGTAGAAAAAACAAACGTACAATAGTACGCACAGTAAAACTCAGTTTAAGAGAAGTCCGAGTCCGATGTCAGAATAGGCTTATAACTATGTACGCGCGACGCGCGCTTTGTCTATAAAAGTCCCTCCAGTGCCTCTCCAATCTTAAAAAGGTCTTATAAATGGACGTTTGTTTTACTTTTTCATCTAAATTAACTTAGTTTCTTTTTCTTTGTCGTCGACAGTTTTTCCGCTATATTCTTAGTTTATGAATTACATATTTACTAAAATCAAACATTTTCAAAATTGCCTTTAAAGGAAGATTTAACCTGACTAGTGGTTGTTGCACAGTTTTTCCTTTTGTTTGAATCTGAGAGGAAATGTATTTTTGAATAAGTCAGAATTATTGTGCATGATGACACATATTTTATTTAAAGTATTTTCATGAACTTAGAAGTAATAATAATTTATTGCTTAACGAAAAACATAAATATTATTTGACTTCTTCTCTTGTCTTGTCTTTTTTATGTTCTATATTTATTGTTTCCTTGCTGTATATGAAACTGTTTATTAAAGGGTCTCCGTTATACACCTTTAGTCTAATCAATTGTGCATTTTTCTATGTTGTGTTTTGTGTACTATTGTTTGTCTGTTGGTCTTTTTCTTTTTTAGTCATGGCATTGTCAGTTTATTTTCGACTTGTGAGTTTGAATGTACCTCTGGTATATTTCGCCTCTCTTAAAGATATTTAATTAATACATGCATTTGGTATAGTTATATCAATATCATTATTACATAAGGTCCAAAATAAATACATATTGTTTGTAAATTCTATGCAGCTATAATTAAGTTCAGTAGATTCATGTGGGTTATATCTATATTTTGTACAGGATGATCTACTATATTGATGTATCTATTACGATCTATAGTGATGTAACCATAACAGACCTTTGTACCATATTCATGATAAGATCAGTGTTTTCAATGTACTTTAAGTTTACCGTGTTATCTCTGTTTGTCAACTTATTTTTAGTTCAGTATATATGTATTGTCTGTGTTTTGTAAATGTATTCACCTGTATATCGATCATTATTGACATACGTTATAGTACATGTAACAGAAATATTTCATTGATTTAAAAAATTGATGAATGACTTGTCTAGTATTAACAAACAGAATGTAGCATTTAATCCTGACTTGGTATGTTATTGAGTTTAATTATATTTATACATTGCAAATATACATTAGTGGTGATGGTTTAATTCAGATAGAACAGACACACATGTACTGATTTTGTGTCCTGGATGGATACCCAATAACCTTTGTTTTTCTACATGTACCTTTCGTTATTTGAACTAGAGTTAGATCCCTTTGTACATAGTATTGTTTATCTATTTATGTGTTGTTATTTTTATTTGTTTGTCATATGTTGAATAAACATCTGTTAACTAGACGGAACTATTTATAATACCGTTCATAAAGCTGGTTAGATATGTAAATCAAAATGATGGCAAGTTGTTTACTCACCTGAATAGATGTAGACCAAATAACCAGGAGACTAAACAATCCAAATAGACATTTGCGGAAACTAGATCTATACCTAGGATTACACTTAGACTTACGATTACAGTTGACGAAAAACAAGGGGTCATCTCAAAATAAGATAAAAATATAGAGACTACATAGTAAAATCAAATTGATCTTTTTTGTATTATAAATATGTATTTTCGACGACATACTTATTCAACGTAAATGGTCACAACAGTCAGATTCGAATCGCTGTATTAGATGTCACTAAGAAATCCCCATAACTTTGTATATTTTTTTAATTCTCCAATGGCATGTTTGACCTTTACTCTAAAGTGTGTAATAAGTCTATTGAATTTTCTATCCTTATTCTACATATTTTGGGGGTTTCGAACAATCTGTTGTCTTCTATAAAGTGTCAATGCTGGATGTCTGTTCGGATATATTTTGTCACCCACCAAAAACTGCAGAGAACCATACGCTTTCTCCGTGAAACAGGGTATTTCTCTTTATATTATCTTTAAAATTGTGTCTTCATTTTTTTAGTATAGACAAATCAGCAAAAAAATTCGTTCAGAGGGTACTCTACAAATGGTGCACTTGAAAATCACGGGAAAATGCGATAAACAAGTTTCAAAGTATAATCATTAAACCCACCGCAGCGCAGTGCTTTTGAAATACATTTGTGTCAATGTCCTTTGCTTTCACGATTACACTTTTGTATCCGCCTCTGCTCCCTAACCGACTTAAATAGTTTGTGATTTTTTCAACAACTTCTTCTCGCCTGATTAACCTTTGCACCTTTATACTTTTGAGGATAAACTTTGTGTTGAAATGAACGCCGTCAAATAAGTGCATTCTATATTGAAATTGCACCGGTCTGGAATCATGTTTCGAGCTGATCAGACCCACCCATATTCATCTACACCGTGAAAAAAAACGTTCATAATCAAACGATTCACAAGATTTCTATAAAAATTGCACAAAAACAAACAACTCAGAAACTTGTAGTCATTTTTTACTGCGTCGCTGAAGGCGAAAGCAGGTTTAGTAACCGCTCGACTCTGTCCGTCTGTCTGTCAGTTTATCTCTCAAAAAGACATTGGGTAAAAAACTTTCCTCAAAGTTTTCTTGGCTTTTCATTTAAGGGAATCATTTTATGTTTCGTTATAATTAATAATTATAAGTTGCAGCGTGTAAGTAATTTCTACATCTGCCGTGCAGCCACTTCCTGTTTGGCGATATATATATATAGTGTGACATTTTACAAGACTTATACTACAAAGAAAATTTTCGATTGAATGATTATTTTTGCTTTTGAATAAGTATAATCCAACCTCAATCAATTACACACAGCGACGCAGGTCCAGACACGATACTGGTCTTGTTTAATTTAAAAGATAGATATTAAAATTCCAACTATTTGAGTACACCTATTTCACATTTCTGAGGAATAGTTTACATTATATATTCGACACAAAGATATTTATCGATAACGGTGTTATGTTTTTTTTTTTCCAAAAGTGTTTCCCTAATTCAGAAAAAAAATAAAACATAATAAAAATTTACCGAACGGCAAGTACAATACCATGAAGAATAAATATGTCTTAAACACCCACCCGCTGATCCCCTCTTTAAAAAAAAAGGGAAAATGTATGTCTATGCATAACCATTAAATATTGTCAACATACTTCTTAGTTGATCGCCTTTTCTTAACACCAAGTCTTGCTGAAATAAATTTCTAATTGCTCAAACCTAGCCAACGACAATTGCGATTTTTTTACGTCTCGTGTAAAATTTATTAAATGATGTTTTACCATTCTATAAAACTCCGTACATATGCATCATATCCAACCTTGATAACACCATGTATAATAATTAATGTAAACACATTATTACATACATTTTTTTTAAACTCCGTTGTTCAACTATGGAAAAACTTCATGTGAGTTAGACTTTGTTTTGGAACTACGTTTTATATTTACACTTTGAAACGACCCAAGATTTAAATGTTAACTGTAAGTGTAATTGTAATCCTAATCGTAGGTGTATGACAGTTTCCGCAAATGTCTATTAATAGACGTGCAGTTACGAAAAGGTATATACTTGACGATGAGGTTGACAAATTAGACTTTAAATGTGGGTATCGTATCAAAACACAAAAGTGCTTTAAAGAGTTAAATTACCTGTGTATCAATTGAATCTTGTGTTTAAACTGCATACTACTGATGTCCACGTATATCTGTACCTTATAACAGACGTCCCTTTGAAAACTTTATTTACTATATATATAATAAAATATTAATTTTCGCGAACCATTTAGGTCACAGAAATTCCAAAAAATGGCATCAGTAAGGAGAGTTGTACCAATGATGTGAATACACAGAACCCGGATCCAAATTATCTTTTACTAAAAGTATTCATCATTTTCTGTTTTGAATGTACTAACAACATTTCATTTTTCTACAATTTCGATTAAAATATTATAAAACCTGCAGTTCAATAGGTCACATGCCCCAAATAAACATTCCCCGATTGGTCGAACTACTGTGGCCTCGGTGTAAAGCAACGCAAGCCTCGATGTAAAGATCACGCTTCCAAAAATAGAGGTATGTCCCAACTTAACATTCCCCGATTGGTTGAATTGCTGCTCGATGTAAAGCAACGGAAGCCTTGATGCAATGAAGAAAAGGGGTTGACAGGATAAACGTAATCATTATAAATTTTAACTTCATGGTTCTTATGCAAGCAAATTTAATAAACAATGATTTTATACAGTTGTGTTATTGTTTTCACCTTACATAGGGCTTTATTTCTGATCTTATTTCTGTGTACACAATTCTGAATCTACATATTTCACCTATATCAATATTAGGTAATCCGTTTGGACGATTCCATATACTATTATGTTATAGGTTTTTTCTAACTTCAGTGTCGAGTTGGTGTATAGTATTGAGGGCTATCAGCGAGAAATAAATCCTTTTTTCTGATAGATTAACTAAATTCAAAACCAATATAAAAATAGTTAACACATATATTTTATTTAATTGAGTAAATTGATCGGAATGTGAATGATACATAAACCTAAAATTCGTTTTGGTCTATCCCAGTGATGACATTTGCGCGGGAATTTAGTCCATTGACATCGTAATATAATTTACTTTGGATTATAATTATCTTTAGATGTAATGTTACAGGATTTAATGTGAAATTATTTGTCTCTTCTGTTATAGTACACGAGTTATAATTATACAGGTCTTGGTACTGATTTCACTACATATAGAGAAAAAGAAAGAGCATGCAGAAAAACTATTAAAGCTGCACAAGCCAAATAATAATAATAATTAAAGTACAAAGTATCAAATCTAAATATCAAATCCAAAGTAAAACTATTTCTCCTTACAATGTAAAATGTAAAATAAATGCCAAAACTACTAAATCATAAAATGAACTTAATCTCAAAATCAAAATGTAAAAGTCTCAAAAATAAAAGATTCTCAAAAGTATTTTCCAAAGTTAAATTATGAGTCAGAAATAAATTTTGTCTCAACACTAAACCGTCAACTGGTAGACTGGTAGACAGTCTTATAGGTCCAGTATCATGACGTGAGTAGTGAGAGGTTAAGCTTCCGAAACACTGACTGTTTTCTAAAGTTTTCTCAAAAATAAAAGGTGAGTCAAAAATACATTTTTGTCTAAACACTACAAAGTCAACTGGTAGACTGATCAACAGTCTTACAGATCCAGTATAGTAGACTTTAGCAGTGCAAGTTTAGGTTTCCGAAAGGTGACTGCTTTTCCAAAATTTTACAACGCTATTTATACTAAAACCAAAAACTAATGAATAAGACTCGACATGTCAATAGTACTCTCATTAGCAAAAATAGACTTTAATTAACAAAGCTTAATCCTATAATGTTTTGATAAAATCTTAAACTTTCCAAGTGACATATGCTAATTACAATTAATATTTCAAATCAAAGTGCTTTGAGCAAACTGTGACATTTCGAGTATTAATGCCACAGGATAGGTAAAATTAATTAAACAAATTAATTAAAAATTTTACAAAATACAAACTTAAAATTTTCTTTCTAAAAGATAAAACATATTTTTTATCCAAAATAACACTAACACAAATATAAGCCAAATAACACACCATGACAGTTCTATTACTGGCTTTTTCACCACCCTAACTTGGCCAAAGACAGTTTTTACAGACGAAAGGAAGCTTGATAACTACTCCTCACACACATGTATAGATTATCGGCTTTTCAACACGAGTCATGAATATCGTAAAATGTAAGCCAGTGAGCAGGCCCGCAATGAACCTTTTTAGCGAGTGACCCCAGCTAATGAGCTAAAATGAATCAAATTGTGTACTCAGTCATAGCTGGTGATATTTTAAGGTATCTACACAAAGAAAACCTGCTTATATAAATCTCAGTGGCGGATCCACAACTTTTCATAAAAGAGGGGTGGCCGCTGACTGACCTAAGGGTTGCCCACTCTCGTCATGCTTCCCCAGTGGCGGATCCGGGGGGAGGGTTCCGAGGGTTGGAAATCCCCTTTTTTGGACGATCAATGCATTTGAATGGGGACACATAGTTGGAACACACCCCCGCCCCCTCCCCCCCCCCCCCCCCTTTGTCCCGAGTTGGGAACCCCCCTTTTATAAAATGGCTGGATCCGCCCCTGCTTCCCAATAAAATCAACCAAATTTTCCCCACCCCCTGGATCCGTCTATGTATCTGTTTATCGTTCTACGTAATACTGGCTTTTTCATCTCCCTTACTTGGCCCTAGACAGTTGCTTATCTGTTTATCGTCACTGGCTTTTTTTTAGACTAGAGACTTCATGTGTACAAACCTGACGCCAAACTCGTGTACTATAACAGAAGAGACAAATAATTTCACATTAAATCCTGTAACATTACATCTAAAGATAATTATAATCCAAAGTAAATTATATTACGATGTCAATGGACTAAATTCCCGCGCAAATGTCATCACTGGGATAGACCAAAACGAATTTTAGGTTTATGTATCATTCACATTCCGATCAATTTACTCAGTTAAATAAAATATATGTGTTAACTATTTTTATATT